CACACACACACACACAAACCAAGGAGCAAATGGGATACAACCTTCAGACTTCAAATAACTAGTCGAGAGCCATCTGTCTGTGTTCTCAGAAAACAACTGAAACGGTATGTCCTGCTCCTTCTTGCAGTCGTCGGTTTCCCATCTGCGATTAATATTATAGTGAATCTAATCTATGCTAATGTCGTTCTCGTTATGCCTCGGAAGCACACAAGTTCAGTCCACCCTGAAACGCGTGCTGATTCCGGCCTTCTTATATAAGTCCAAATACTAAGGGGCTCAGTACGTGCGGAACGGTGCGCGGAACGGTTCTCCAACCTGTGCACTAGGCGATGGACTTATTGGTAATAAACCAGACACCATCCAGTATTCATCCCATGAAAAACGTTTCGAGTGACCTTTCTCCAATGCTTTGCCCACCATTTCTAGATTCCGAGTGAGGATGGACAGAGTGATACCACAGGTGGGTCTGATGTGGGTGAGATGTCCCAATGCCATTTGCAGCGCATCAAGGACGTTTGTTCATCCCTTAAGAAGAAGTCAACGGGTGCGCAGGTGCCATAACAAGTAATCAAAACTGCAAAATTAATATGGTAGCAAGTTTCTGAGATTTGGTATGCGCAGATGCCGTGACAAGCGAAAGACTGCAAGAGTATCATAGCAGCAAGTTGTGAGATGGGATGGACGTGAGGTTTGGTATGCTTACCTACAACTGAATAGAGCCCCTATGTGAGAGGAGACTGGAGACGACTCGGATGCTTGGTCCTGCCTGCATTTCACAGGTTTTCTCTTCGCCTGTGTTTGTCCTGAATGTACTCCCGGCGTTAGATCTTAAACTGAATAGAGCCCCTATGTGAGAGAAGACTGGACACAACTCGGATGCTTGGTCCTGCCTGCATTTCTGAAACCACCTCCACAGGTTCTCTCTTCACCTGTGATTGTCCTGAATGCACTCCCGGCATTAGCTCTTAAACCATGAGTACCTGTCGCGTTTTTAGCTGTTAATGCAGTGGATGAATCTGTGCGCCGTGCTGGTCTGTATTCATTTGGGTCAGAGGGGACCTCAGAACTCCTGTGGGCGTTACTTGTGGTTCAACTCCAGCATTGCACCACGGTGACCTATCTCTTCAGAGGGGTTGACAGGAAGACCTGAAGGGCTTCCGCCACCCAGGCCTTGTAGTTGACCTGCGGAGCCCTTTATTTGGTAACCCAGCTACCCAACCGCACAGTTGGTACCAGGCGGAGCCCTTTTTTATTTTTTTTCCAGCATTGCAGTCCCAGTCCTCGTAGTTGACTTTTTTTTAATCTTTTTTTTTCTTGGGAATGAATCTTCCACCAGAAGGCCTTGTAGTTGACTGTGCTGCTTGAAACGACAAAATACAGGAACCTGCAAAACAAAAGGAAAAACTGCGGGCTCGACGCCTGACCATGTTTGCCAATGGTGTTCGTTCTGCGATGCACAAAGTGTGCTTCAAGTCCCCCCAACCTCTCAAAGGAAAGAACAAAACCGAGACGAAAAAAGAGGAAAATGCCAGGAACGTGCCGCTCTCGGGATTGTTTTTTGGCTGGGCTGGGCCTGTCGGAAGGGTCACGCACGGCCTGGCTTATGCTTGTAATCTCGGCTGTTTCCCTTTCGACGATTAAAGCTCATCCCCTACTGTCTCACTAGTTAACTGAAGTCTTAAGTATTCTGCAGATGCAGATGCGGATGTATTTTGATGTAGATAAATGTAGATGCAGATGTACGTAGATCTTGATGTAGATGTAGATGCAGATGCAAATGTAGATATATGTACATGCAGATGTAGAAAATGCATGCACATGCCATGGCTATCAAGCCTCTCGGAAACACCGTGGCTAGTGACACGGACTATGTTCTTGTGATGTTCGCCTTTGCACAACTACTCAAAGAAAACCACTTGTTTCCTCGGACATGCACCGACTCATCGGGAGGTTGAATGCCGACAGGCTGCTCAGGATGCATTTGACTGATGGATAAGGACTCGCTTTATGTCGCTAGAGTTAACGAAAAGTGGTAGACTTTACTCACACCAACCCTGAAATACTAGCAGACTTGTCATTGGTTCAAATCCCTGACAAGAACTCTGTGTGTGTGTGTGTGTGTGTGTGTGTGTGTGTGTGTGTGTG